TACACGTTGAAAAATGACCCCCCCCAGCCACAATGGCGGCATAGTGGTGGAAGTGAGATGCTCTACAAGACTGAGGGTGTGGACGGGTTCTGGATTTGCTAGTAGAGACTACCTAATACAGTGGGCACACACATGCCCATGATCGGAGTGGTGGGCTGGGCATCAAGACTCTGTTGAGGGTGCTCGCTTCCCCTCCATCTTTCACTCACAGAAGAAATAGATGATTTTTCTTTTTTAACTCAGAGGGCACGTGTGCTGGCGAGAGAGAGAACATACACCAGCCAGCCCACTCCCAGATAGGGCACGGCTATGCCGTAGCCCCTTCTCTGCATGTGCCTGGCATGTTTCCAAGCCTCCAAACGGATGTCAGCCATGTGGAATCTGGCCTCCCTGACCACTGGGGTATGGGGCCAGCCTATAATAAATGATACCCAAGGTCAGATCTTTAATCTAGACTGCTACTCCTTTTTTTTGAAAGGAAAACAAAATACATTCTTTTGTGCCAACTGGTGCCATGGTGGTTAAGCAGCTGGATTCCACATTGCTGAGTGGTGGTTCATGTTCTGGACCTAGCAGCTTGAGAAGTATGCTAGGCACCTGTGTGTGTCCAGAATGATGAGAGGAGGATGTAGAAGGGATTGTACCGTGCTCATGCCCCCGGGAGGAGCTTTCTCACTCTCTTTCTGTCTCCAGCAAGCATATGTATCCTATAGCAAATTATTTAAAAGGGGGGCGGGGCTAGCAGATAGCATAATGTTTATGTAGCTGGACTCCTACATGGCCAACCATGGTTCAAGCCTGGACCCAGTGGCTTAAAACTCACTCTGGGCATGTGTGCATGCATGCCCAAAGTCCCAATAGGAAAATGGAGGAGAGGGCTTGCAGTGTGGCCATCCCTCTGGAGGGCTCATTTCTAGCTTTATCTGTCTCTTTCTTCGGCAAGCACACACACACTACAGCAAAAATCTCTCAAAAAAGAAGACATTTTTATGAGATGTAATTCTCATACTATGTAGTTCATCCTTTTAGAATGTATAGTTTGATGGGGTTTTTTAGAGAAAGTTTTGCTATAGGGTGTGTGCTCTTGCTGAAGAGACAGGAAGTTAGAAATCACCCCCTAGAGGGGATGGCCACACCACAATCCCTTCACCATTCTCTTGGGATATTGGGCATGTACATGCACACACCCGGTGTGAGTTTCAAGTTTCTGGGTCTGGGAATCAACTGCAATCGACTGCGTGGGAGTCCAGTGACATAACCGCTACGCCATCTGCTTGTCCCCATTTTGATGGTTTTTAACATATTCACAGAGCTGTGCAAACCTTATCATGGTCAATATTAGAATATGTTGGGACCAGCAGTAGGTGTAATGGCTATGTCGCTGGACTCCCACGTAGTCGACCACGGTTCACGTCCTGGACCCGGTGGCTTAAAACTCACACCGGGCGCGTGTGCGGGTGTGCCCAAGATCCCCAGAGGAGAAAGAAAGAGAAGGGATTGTGGCGTGGCCATCCCCCCGGGGGGTGATTTCTCGCTTTCTGTCTCTCTGTCTCTCTCTGTCTGGTGAGCACACGTGCCCTATAGCAAAAAAAAAAAAAAAAAAATTGGAATATGTTTATTATTCAGAAAGAAACTGTACCTCTTCACTATCACTAACCAGTTCCCTTCCCCATCTCTACAGTTATTTTTTATGACATATTTTTACCTTAAGTAGGAATGCTGGGGCCAGTACGTGGCATAGTGGTGAAGGTGCTGGACTTCCACATAGCCTACTGCTGCAGTTCAAGTCCCGGTCCTGGTGGCTTGAAAAATCATACCAGGTGCTTGTGCATGCATTCCCAGAATCCCAGGAGGAGAATAGAGAGGGGATTGTGGCGTGGCCTTCCCATCCCTGGGGTGTGAATTTTCACTTTCCCTCTCACTGTTTCTCTCTGTCTGACAAGTGCGTTGCCCTATGACAAAAAGCTAAAAGAAAACAAAATGGTTAGGAATGTAACACATTCTAGGTGTTTTTGGTTTGACTACTCATCTGTTACTGTTAATTTTTTTTCTTTTTTGGAGAGGTTTCTGCTAAAGGGCTCATGCGCTCAATGGAAAGACAGAGAGACAGACAGTGAGAAATCACCTCCCAGAGAGGATGGCCACGCCAAAGTCTCTTCTCCCTTCTCCTCTCGGGATCTTGGGCACGCACGCACACACGCACACACACCTGGTGTGAGTTTAAGCCACCGGGTCCAGGACTCAAACCACAGTCGACTACATGGGAGTCCAGTGACATAGCCATTATGCTAACTGCTGGTCCCCCTCTGAATCATCTTTAAATGAGGTTTCTTGTGGTTCAGAGTCTTCAGTGTTAGCCAGATTTTCACACCCTCTTATTGACAGTAATAGTGAAGTAGCTGTTTTTCAGGTACCTTACTGTGTGCTGGAAAATAGTTGCATTTCCAACCCTCCCAGAATTCTGTAAGTTAGGTAGTATTTCCCCTCTTTACAGGTAAGGAAAGGAAACTGTGGATGAGAGACGTCAAAGCCCTTGTCCAAATCACAGCTCAATAGAGAACAGGAATTTGGACACAAGCAGGTCTGCTGGTCCCAGCCAGCTGTGCTCTTTACGGGCCTCTGGGACCCACCAAGATGCTCTCACTGGGGCCTCGCTTCCTGCTTGTACCTTTTAATCATCGCCCTCTTTGGGACAAGAGAATAAAACTAGGAGTACAGGCATCTAAGTTACCAAGTCACTTATAGAGACGGGCCGCAGTGAAATGCTGGGAGCTCAGGGGACAGACCCAGGAGACTTTTCTGTGCTTTGACAGTCGGGATGAACCAAGTCCTTCTAGGTGTCATAAAACTTCATTGTTGTGGTAACATCATTTTATTAAAAAAATTAAGTATTGACTCATGTTTTTCCAACAGATAAAGAGTTCTATTTGCCTTCTACGAGGAAAAATCTATGATGCTTTAGATAATCGAACCCTTGCTACCTACAGCTACAAAGAAGCCTTGAAACTTGATGTGCACTGTTTTGAAGCATTTGATCTTTTGACATCGCATCACATGTTGACAGCACAAGAAGGTTCAGATGCTGAAGTAGTTTTATTTTTAACAATGTTGTTTGTTTTGTCTCTTTCCTTTAACATCTGCAGAATCAAGAGCAGGCTTTGTGCTGGTGTAAATAGATGTACTCACTTTCTTAGTGTTTCACATGCGAAGCACAGTGCAAATGCATTGCTGTGCAGTGTCTTTTTTTTTTTTGACAGAGATTTTTGCTGTAGGGTGCATGTGCTTGCCAGAGAGACAGAAAGTGATAAATCATTCCCCAAGGGGGTTGGCCACACCACAGTCCCTTCTCTGTTCTCCTCTTGGGATCCTGGTCACACACACACACGTACCTGGCATGAGGTTTAAGCTGCTGCATCCAGGATTTGAACCATAGTCGAATCCGTGAGAGTACAGCAACGTAACCATTATGCCCTCTACTGGTCCCTGTAATTTTTTTTTTAGAATTATTTTATTTTATTTATTATTATTATTATTTTAAATTTACCATAGGGCATGTATGCTCACCAGAGAGAGACAGAGAGACCAGGTCCAGGACTTGAACCACAGTTAGTCATGTGGGAGTCCAGAGCCTTAACCACCACGCCACCTGCTGGCCCCCTGTGCCATGTCTTTTACTACCAGACCCTTTAGGGATGGCAGTGTGATAAGACCATTTTTTTTAGGTTGATTTGAGGTTGTATTAACCAAGATTTTAGTATCTGATGCATCGATCCCCAGTGTGACTGTGCTTTAAATATACGAGGTGCTTTAAACCCCAGTGTCAGTCTCTACTTCAGACTCATTGGTCAGACACATGGAGGTAAGGCCCTGGCCTCAGGTGGTTTACAAGTCCCAGGTGATCTGGACCCACCTCAGGGACTCAGACCTGCTGACCAAGCATGTCAGCAGTGGTACACGCGAGGTCAGCGAGACACGGAAGGGTTGGGTTATTTCATTAGTGGCATTCAGACATTTCAGTCTAGTGCAGCAGTTCTGAACCCTGAGATTTTGTAGTTTGGAGACATTTTTGGTTGTCATTCTTGAAGTACAGAAGGGAGAGTGGGAGGTTGCTGGTGTGAGGTAGGTGGAGGCCAGAGGTCTTGTCAACGCCCTGCAGTGCCCAGAACACCAACAGCCGCAGTGTAGGTAGTGCTGCGTGTCCTGGTTCTCGGACTTGCTTAGCCAGGAGCCCCAGCAGCACCGCCTCTGTCTACAGGGTGACTCACCTCCCAGCCCAAGAACTGCTGTCTACCTTCTCTGGTACATTTTGATCTTATTTTCTGAGTTTGATTTACTTAGACCAAGAACTGTAGAAAAATATTTCTAGTCGATGCCTTTTTCCCCTATGAATATGGTGATGTTATTTTTGTCTCACTGTTTTTAAGAAAAAGAACTTCTTGAATCACTACCTCTCAGCAAGCTCTGTACTGAAGAACAAGAATTGCTACATTTTCTATTTGAGAACAAATTGAAAAAGGTAAGTGTAAACATAAAGTTAATATTTACATTATGTAACTTCTGTCTTTCATTAAATTTGTCTTCTATTTTTAAAAATAAATATTAGCACATTTGTAAGAACAGTTAGATTATTTTAGATATATGATATGATTCCTAAAAAGCTCCCCAAAATAATGTCTACCTCCATCAACTCCTTGACCTAAAAGCTTGAGTTATTTAATAAATGGAATATTGTTGCATGAAGATGAGTTTTCTTGTTTCCTGAACTTCATGAAGTACTTGAATTGTGTGATAAAATTGAGAAAAGAATTAAACTTACTGAGAAGAGTGCTGATGAAACTCAGGAAGTGTGCGGAGGCTCCCACATGTCCTGTGTAAAGGTTTTAGCTGCTCGGTCGACCCTGAGTCTGCGTTGGCCCTATTCCTGCTCACCACGCATGTCCTCACGTTTCTGTTTCAGTATAACAAGCCTAGTGAGACTGTCGTCCCTGAGTCTGTAGATGGCCTGCAGGAGAATCTGGATGTGGTGGTGTCTTTAGCTGAGAGGCATTATTACAACTGCGACTTTAAGATGTGCTACAAGCTCACGTCCGTGTAAGTATTCCCGTTTGTTTCTGTGTAGGAGCTGGCGCTCAGACTGTTCTGTCCAAGGAATTCATGGACATGCTGTTTGAGTAAGCTCAAACTAGTAGATGATCACTTTACCTTTACCATTTGGAGAGTACCTCACAGTGCTGTCTTAAAAGCAGTTTACAGGGGCTGGCAGATGGTAGGTACAGTGGGTAAGATGTTGGACTCCCTCATGGCCAACCACAGTTCAAGTCCTGGACCTGGAGGCTTGCTTTCTCACTTTCCCTTTCTCTTTCTCTTTCTCTCTCTCTCTGGTCAAGTTGAAAAAAATTACAATAACAACAACAAATAAAATAAAGTATATCTTTTTTTCTTAAGCAGTTTACAGAGGGGCCAGCAAGTGGCATGGTAGTTAAGGTGCTGGACTCCCACATGGCTGATCGTGGTTCGAGTCCTGAACCTGGTGGCATGCTTTCTCATTTTCTCTATCTCTCTCTCTCTCTTTCTCTGTCTAGTGAGCACATATGACCTATAAGAAATTAAAACTAATAAGAATAATAAATAAAATTAAATAACAAAGTTTTTTTTAAAGGCAGTTTGCAGAGACAGGTTTATGCATATGAATAGATTTATTCTAATAACCTGGGAGGCGTATAGCTGCACCTCTTCCCAGTCTTGATAATTTGCAAATTTGGAAATACCATTTTGGGACCTAATTTAATAAAACATGTTCTCTGTTAGAGGCTGACAGAGCTCTGCAGGGCCAGGGTGCATGGCCTGAGCGTTCACTAGTGAGGCGGCTGCTCCACACCAGTTTTCCAGTGTGTATGATTTAACCTGTCCTTTAGCTAAATTACATATCCTGTCTTTTTTTGTGGCTCTTTTGGATTGTTTAAAGTCCTTGAAATTGAGGCCCAGTTAGGTGGCATGGTGTTTATGACACCTGATTCCCTCATGGCTGACTCTGGTTTGAGCCCTGGACCTGGCGGCTTGAAAATCGCACCAGGTATATGTGTGTGTGTGCCCAAAATCCAGAGAGGAGAATGGAGAAGGGATTGCGCCATGGCCTTCCTCCCTGAGGATGATTTCTCACTTTCCCTCTGTCTCTCTCTCTCTCTGGCAAACGCATGTACCCTATGGCAAAAACCTAAAAAAATAAAGTCTTTAAAATCAGAGAAATCTTTATTGGTAAGTCCTTATTATCTGTATTAAATATTTCATATTTTGATTCTTTTGAATAATTAGACTGCTTTTCTTTATGCATCATAAATCTGCTCACTAAGTAAATGTATGTGTGATAATGCTTTTATTTGTTCCAAATAAACCCGAAATTTTCCTTGCATTTAAAACTTACCCATTGCCTTAACTGAACCAACAAAGAGATAATGGAAAGAAGAAACAAAGAGCATTGTAACACACCCTTTCACCTGTCACACTGGACAGACTGTCTACACACAGATAACAGTAGTGAGTGCTGTCACATGCTGTTTCCAGGAAATAACGTGTTGCTTCAACTTTCAGAGTAATGGAAAAAGACCCTTTCCATGCCAATTGTTTACCTGTACATATAGGAACACTTGTGGAGTTGAACAAAGCAAACGGTAAGAATCTTGTCCTTTTTAATTGTCATAAGATAGGTACTTACCAGCGAGAATGGGGAAAGAGAGTGAAAAAAAGCACCCTCAGCGGGGCCTAGTCATGCAGCCATCCCTTTTCCTCTGTTCCCATCAGGATCTAGGGCACATGCACATGCATCCCCAGCATGTCTTTCAGACTGTCACGTGGGACTCGAACTCACAGCCATGTGAGACCCAGCTTTCTTCACACGGTGCTGGGACTGGCCTGGCAAATTTTAAATTTTTAATTAAAATAATTCTTAAGCCAAAAAGCTTTTTGTTACTCTTGAAATTTCGTATGATGCCCTGAAGCATGGAGAGCATGGGTGGTGCCATGTTGGGTGTCTGATAGAAGCAGTGACTGGGAGGAGCGTGTACCCAGGACCAGCGGGGAGGCCAGCGGGGAGGGGAGGAGCGTTTGCCTGGGACCAGTAGAGTCTTGCCTTTTGCTCTCTTTTCTCAAGTGTGTTGTGCTTCAAGGGGCATTAGGGTGTTGGATGTGAGCTGTTTAAATTCATTTCTTTCTCTTTTTAAATAAAAGGGTTCTTGAGAATACTGCTTCGGGTATGGGTAGAGTTAACCGTTTAGAAATTGGAAGGGAGCTGTCTTATTACCCTGTTACGTTTCAGAAGTCCGGTTGTGTTGGGCTGTCCCTTGTCAGTCCATCTCGTGGTAATAGTGAGCTTTAGTAGGGCGAGCCTGGGCAGTCCTGCACCGAAGCCCTGTGCCTCGCAGTGCAATCTCCCGACCTGGACACCTATCCCTGAGAGGCTTTCTATAGATGCAGACTTACAAGTGGCCTTGGTCTGACTGTAGGAAAGGTCACTGTGGAACACTTGGGGTCACACATTTCTCAAGAGGAATTAGTCGCCCTGATTTGAAATTACTTGGAAGTTTGGTTAACCACTTTGGCTGTGGTGGTTGAGCCCACCTGTGGTGGACATAGAGGTAGTCTGTCTGGTAGGAGCAGCTCTGCAGAGCCCTCTGCAGCCCAACACCGCCAAGTCCCTTTGAGGTGGCATCGGCTGTCCGTCCTGTCTCCCAACAAGCACTCGGGCGAGGTCTGGCACTGTGGTTCTGCCTAGTGGGGTTTCTATACCTCAGTAGGTAGATGGGTTTTTGTATCCAGCAGGAAAGAAAAACGTGAAATCATCACTTTGAGGACAGAATTATGATTGTAGAGTTGTAGCTTAGGGGGAAGTCATTTCTTAATTGCATTTGATGTTTTAATTAATTTGAATTAATTGCAATTGCATTTCATTCTTTTTTCTTTTTCCCTAATACAGAACTTTTCTATCTTTCTCATAAACTGGTGGATTTATATCCTAGTAACCCTGTAAGTAATATAAGTCTATCATTTTCTCATGGTGGTTTGGACTAGTATTTAAACAGTAGCTTATGTTTAAGGTCAAGCAAATAATGCTTTGTTGTTGGCACAGAATCTTACTGCTTAGGACACTTGGACAGCAGCATTGGCTTTTTAATTCATGAAAGGTTCTTGACATTTTACAGAAGCAGTAACAAAAATCTTTACTTTCGGCCAGCAAGTGGCACAGTGGTCAAGGCCCTGGACTCATGGCCAGCTGCGCTTTGAGTCCAGACCTGCTGGCTTAAAACTCATGCTGAATGTGTGTGCTTGCATGCCCAGATTCTCAGGAGAAGAGTAGAGGAGAAGGGATTGTGATCATCCACCCGGAGGGTGAGACACTGTTTCTCTAGTGAGCATACGTGCCTATAGTAAAAATTTCTCTCTCAAGAAAAAGATTAGAAAAATCTTTACTCTTCTTAATTTTTATTTTTTAGTAGTGATAATCTCAGACCTGTTAGGATGACAGCAACAGGAGAGCAGATTTGATTTTGTTTTTATTATGTTATTTTATTTGTTTTTTGCTATAAGGTATGTATGCTCACTAGAGAGAGACAGACAGCGAGAGGAAAAGTGAGAAATGTCCCCAGGGGGGTGGTCATGCTATAATTGCTTTTCCTCCGTTCTCCTCCTAGGGCCCTGGCATGCAGGCACACACATCAGGTGTCATTTTCAAGCCAGTGGATCCAGGACTCGAACTGTGCTTGGTCATGTGGGAGTTCAGTGATGTAACCTCTACGCCATCTGCTAGCCCCATGCCTGGTATTTTAAATACTTACCATATAGAAATAGGGAATTTCGATGGTTACGGTCACACACTCCCAGCTTTCATTGAGAGTGCTGGTAACTGCTTTCCCACACTGCGTATGTAAGGTGGCCTTCTCAGTCGCTGCCAGTCTGCACTGATCAAAGCAGTGTGTCTTCCACAGTGCCGTGGAAGGGGTCAGACTAGTCTCAGGCTCTAAGACAATCCCTGCAGTGTGAGGCCAGGACGCCTGCGAATGGGTCATCAGGGCTGTCGGGGCAGGGAGGAGCCAAGCGGGGCGAGATGCACAGGCTGCACTCGAAACGGGAAGTCCTTGGAGCTGTCTTCTACGCAGCCTTGAAAAGAGCTCTTCATGGTCTGTTCTCTTCCAGGACCTTAGTAGAAAGACCGTCTCAGAGAAATGTCTAACTTAAACCAGGACATGTACTGCAGGGAGATCCTCTATTCAGCCTAATTAGTTAGAGTCCAAGCCGAGGTGGGCCTCTCTGGTCATGGTAAACTTTGACTTTTTTAGGTGTCTTGGTTTGCAGTGGGATGTTACTACCTCATGGTTGGTCATAAGAATGAACATGCCAGGAGATATCTGAGGTATGAGTTTACCTGTCCCGAGTGAGCCTGTAGGAGCGATTGCTTGCTGAGGTGCTGTCATGCAGTGACTAGGCGCTCTTTAAAAGCTGTGTGAGCGGCGCTTTCTCCCCCGATGCAGCGTGCCTGCTGGGAGGGGAGGTAAGTCAGTGTGTAGACTCCGTCCTAGGGGCCTGTATAGTTTTATGTCGTATACAAGTCAGAGTATGAAAAATAGAGAATAATAGTTTCAATGGTTTTGTTTTTCATTATAGAGATAATAAACCTTCTAGGATTTGCTTGTTTATAAATGGGTAACTAACTACAAAACTTCACATGCGTTTAGGGTCACTGACTATGACTGTGGGCAGTTTCTGGCAGTGAGCTGGTCCATGTAAGGGTCTCCTGTGGCTCGAGCTCAAGGAAAGCCATGTAGCCCACTCAGGCTGGATCACTAGTGCTCTCCAAGCACAGGGGAAGGCTCAGTACATGAAGGACTAACTACTTAAAGACTTCAACTATGATAACTCTCGTGAGTCTGTGCTCGCAAGCAGAACGGGAAATGGTCTCCAAAAGAGCATGCAGCGGAGCCTGACTCAGACTCCGACTCAAGCTCTGTAGCCTACCAGCTGTAATTCCCCAGGAAAATATCTCTGACTTTCTCTTCTCTAAAAATAGGGGTGCTGTAATACCAATACCCCAGAATTGTGAGAAAACGTGGTAAGATGACAGGAAAGAGCCCTGCACTGTGAAGAAGGTAGAGAAGGACCTTGCGGTTAACTGTATGCTCAGCATTTAGGAAAACTGAGTAGGAAGATGACGGGTATTGTAAAAGTTTATTCGAACTGTACTTTTTTGATTTAGTATGTAAGTCAGTGATGGACTCTATGAAACAGGACTATTTGGGCAAAGGAACACCTAGAAAACAAAATGCTAGGAAGTGGGATGTCACCCATTATAAACCCTGTATCTTGTGATACATTATTCCCTGTTAACCATCACAGTCTCCCACTGGTAGGAGACTATCTATAGTCGTCCAGTCCCTGCATCCAGGGTGACTCTGCTGCCCTCCGGGATGTCACATAATCTCTCAAGCACTGGTATACTTGTCCTCAAAGTATGAATTCATCTGTGCTACAAGCCATTAGAATGTGACCATGGTGCCTGTGTAAGGCAGGTCCTCACCAAGTGGTTGTTGCTGCCGCTGCTACTACCATTTATGAGGCTGTAAGACAGATCTTCCCGATGAGGTGACACTTGTAAGTTCTCTGCAAACTGCTGATGAGCTCAGTTACATACAATATTTAAAAGTTGTGGATGTGTTTCCTAAAACTGCTTAAGCTATTGTTTGTACTATTAAATGTAATTAAGATGAATCAGCACAGTGTTCAATACTAGTGCTATGTTAGTGTTGAGTAAGTATGCAACTCAGTTATCTAATAATGCTAATGTCTTTGCGGCTCTCTACTTGTGTAAAATTAACCTAACAGTGTAATAAGTATTACCCTACTTAATGAACTTTTGCCGTAGCAAAGCCACAGCCCTGGAGAAGACCTACGGGCCCGCGTGGATAGCCTACGGGCACTCGTTTGCAGTCGAGAGCGAGCACGACCAGGCCATGGCTGCATACTTCACGGCAGCACAGCTGATGAAAGGGTATGGAAGGAGCTGGTTAAATTTTGGGGTGGGATTCGAGGCTGAGTCTGTGTTATTACTATTACTGCTGTTTGGTTGCTAAACTAAATAAAAACTTTTTTGTTAGAGGGTATGTGCGTTCACTGAAGAGAAACAAAGGGGGAGGGGAAGGGAGTGAGAAAGCGCCCCTGTGGGGTGGGGTGTGATCATGCACAACCTCTCCATTTCTCTGTCCTGTCTGGATTTGGGGCATGTATACACACGTGTTCAGCATGTTTCTTGAGCCTCCTTGTCTGGGAGGCAGACTACATAGTTGGCCATGTGGTATCCAGCCACCTTAAACACCAAGCCATGGACTGGTCCCTAGACAAAAACATTCCACTTGCTTTGTGTCTAGTAGTGAAGTAACTATGGAAATGTGTGGAGGGGTACCAGGTAATGAGCTTATCTGGCATTTGTTTAAGCCAGTGCAAGCAGGTACTAGGAACCAGGATGTGGGGTGCAGCTCTTCTCACAAGCTCATGAAGGCGTGAAAGTGTTGGTGAGCAGAGTCTTCTCTACAGGTGTTCACTGTGGTTCGGTGGTGCTGGACCTAACTGCCGTGTTCTAGATTTACGGCATTCTGGTATCGTGCACACTGGAACTGATTGATATGAAGGTGCCCCAAGAAACGTTACTTTGGGAGTTGAGTACTGCTGGGCTTCTATTGGTTCTTTTGGGCTCACCGTGGGTTTACAGGGTCGAAGTGCTTTTGTTGACCAGTAACTCACCCCTGTGTGGAGACAGGTGTGAGTGCAGGGCCCAGTGGGCTGGGCTAGACTCTGGCAATATGGACTCACTGGGTCTTCCTCTCAGTTCCTCGTGGCTGTAGAAAATAGGAATAATGGCAGGACTTACTTGTGAGTGCAGTTAAGGATGGTACCGTGTCTTGGGGTTAGAAGATAATACCAGGTGGCCTCTTTGTTTACGTGCTCGGTGGGATAATGAACTTCATCTTGTTACAAACTGTCAGATTCATTGACGCTCATCTCTACACCCAAATTGTTGAAATGGGTGGGTTTGGATCTCCCTGACTGCATGGGTCTCACCTTGGACTTCCATCACAGCACCACAGACTAGATGCTTTGTGAAAGCGAGACTGGCTGGAAGTTGAGAGCATAGTACCTCCAGTTTGGTCCTGGTGAGGGCTCTCCTGGCCGGCACATGGCTGCCGCCTTACTATGCCCTCACGGCAGTCAGAGCTCCACTGTCTTCCTCTTCTTCCGAGGACACCAGCCCTCAGTTGAATGATGGCACTAATCTCATAACCTCGTGTAAGTTGGAATACATGCTCTCAGGCCCTGTCTCCAAGTTCAGTCTCAGTGGGGCTAGTGAGGGCTTACTGTATGAATTTTGGGATGGTACAAACATCCACCTCATAGCAATCACATGTTTCAAGACATAACCATCGAGTTGTAGTTGTTCAGCGACTTTTCCGCCCACCTGAATGGTCCATATTCTCAGCCCTGACCTCTCCTCCAGCCCACCACGAGGTGAGGCCTTTCCTGTGCTTTGCTGGAGCTCAGTGCCAGCATCTGCCCATTTCTCTAGTCCGTGAGTCTGACGAGTTGGCAGAAAAGAATTTCAGTAACTTTAAGCCGTTTCTTAAGATCAGATGCTGGGGTCTGGTGATTTTTTTATACGGTGGTCTGGGTGCTTATAAACGCATAATGGTTATTAGCTACTAGTTCCTATCTAAGAACTAAACTTAATGATAATGACACAATAATTTAATGTTTCCCAGTCTAACAGACTTTCTCTTAAATTCCCATGTCAGCTCACAAAGGTAAGCATTAGTTTTCTCTCAGTTTCACTTCTGCATCAGGACAGCTTTGCGCTTTGTATTCTCCTAATTCCCATGTTTGGATAAGTGTTTGAAATGGGTATTGTTTTTTCTTCTTAGATTGTTTTTTTGTTTGGGGTGTCTGTGTGTGTGTGTGCGTGCGTGTGCTTGCTTGCTATAGGGCCACGTGTGTTTGCTAGAGAGAGAGAGAAAGACGAGGAAAGTGAGGTGTCATCACCAGGGGGATGGCCGCGCTGCAGTCCCTTTTCTGTTACTCTGTCAGGGCTTTGGGCATGCACACACGCGTGCCTGGTGTGTGTTTTAGGCCAACTGGTCCAGGACTCGGCCATGTGGGATCTAGTGCCTCTGCCATTGTGCCACCTGCTGCCCCACAGTGGGTCATGTTCGAGTGTCCTTTGTGATGTCTTCTGTGAGCTATTGACTGTTCACGAGTTTGTTTGATTTCCACGTGTTTATGAATTTCCTAAATTTCTTTAAGTTACGAACTTTACTTCACTGACTGGAGAACATACTTTGTGTGATTTCCATCCTTTTAAGTTTATTGAGACTTGTTTTATGAGCTGACATATGACCTAGTCTAGAAATTGTTTCAGATGTATTGAAAACTGTGCTTTTGTTCAGGTAGAGTGCTGTATAGATAACGGTTAGGATTAGTTTTTATATTGTCGAAGTTTTCTTGTTGATCTTGCAATAAGTTCATTATTGCAAATGGGATATCGAAGTCTCTATCGAAGTCTCTGACTCCTATTGTTTAATCGTCTGTTTCTCCTTCCTATTCCTGGCTTTTTTTTTGCTTCAAGCTCTGAATCACTTGTTAGGTGCATATATGTTTATAATTGATATGACATCAAGGAAATAACAGTTATAAACATGCACCTAAATGTTCATTATTTCCACTGACAACTTTGGTCCTAAAATCTGTTGCCTGGGGACCAGCAGTTAGTGTAATGGCTATGTCGCTGGACTTGCATGTAGTCGACCACAGTTCGAGTCCCGGACCCGGTGGCTTAAACTCAGGTTGGGCGTGTGTGCGTGCGTGCATGCCCAAAATCCCAAGAGGAAAATGGAAGAGAAGGGATTGTGGCATGGCCACCCCCTTGGGGGTGGGGGGTGATTTCTCACTTTCTATCTCTCTCTGTCTTTCTGGCAAGCATGTGAGCCCTATAGCAAAAACCTCTCCAAAAAAAGAAAAAGGAAAAAAAAAATCTGTTGCCTGGAACCAGCAGTTAGCATAATAGCTATGTCGGTGGACTCCCATGTAATCGACCGCAGTTCAAGTCCTGGACCTGGTGGCTTAAATTCACGCCGGGCGCTGTCTTTTTTTTTTTTTTTTTTTTTTTTTTTTTTTAATTATTTATTTATTTTTACTTTGACCAGACCTGGTGGTGGGGGGTGGCAGGGAGTGAGAAAGCAAGCCACCAGGTCTGGGACTCGACCCATGGTTGGCCATGTGGGAGTCCAGCACCCTTAACCACCATGCCACCTATTGGCCCCTGTCTTATGTTTAATGTAGTTAATTTTACCAGACTCTTATTTCTTTGTGTGGATTCAGTTACCCTCTAGTGTCCTTCATTTTAGTGTAAAGGACACCCTTTAGTCAACCAACCTTCCTTCCTCGTTTCTTTCTTTTTTTCCCCTTCTCTCTCTTTCTTTCTTGAGAGAGAAACAGGTACACTCAACAGTGCCACAGTCCTCATAGCCTTCCAGTAAGCTAGGGACCCTAGTGCACCAGGCCTGATGAGGGTGACCTGGAACTTGGATCTGGGACCTCCCTGTGGCTTCAGTATCACGCAACAATGTCCTGCCATCTGTGCCACTGTGGCTGGGCCCCGGTAGTATTTATTGCTGGGCAGGTCTGCTAGCAGTAGACACTTCCAATGACCATTAAAGCTGTGAGACAAAGGAACAATGACCTATTGCTTTTGTTATGTTAGCCTTTTCTCTTCCTTGGTTGCTGTGGAGTTGAGTTTCTTACTCTAACATAGCCTGGCCCTCTACCACTTTCTTTTTTTTTTTGGAGAGGTTTTTGCTATAGGGCGCGTGCACTCACCAGACAGAGAGACAGAAAGCGAGAAATCACCCCCCAGGGGGGGTGGCCACGCCACATTCCCTTCTCCTCCATTCTCCTCTCAGGATCTTGGGCATACACATACAAGCGCCCGGCATGAGTTTTAAGCCACTGGGTCTTGGACACGAACCATAGTCGACTACATGGGAGTCCAGCGTCATAGCCATTATGCTAACTGCTGGTCCCACCACTTTCTATTCTGTTATGGGTAAACGTTGCATTCTGTACTACTTGTACTGGACAGAATAATGTAATTATGTACATTACTCCTTGACTTGTGATGGCGGTGCCTCCAAATAAACCCATCCTAAGTCAAAAATACCGTAATTTGAAAGTTCATTTACTACATCTGGCCTATCAAACATCGTATCTCAGCCCAGCCTCTCAGCCCAGCCTATCTTAAATGTGCTCAGAGCATTTACATTAGCATGCAGTTGGAACATCTTTTAACACAAAGCCTATTTTATAATAAAGTGTTGAATATCTCACATAAATTACAGAATACTGTTCTAAAAGTGAAAAACAGAGTGGTTGGATAGGTGCTGCAGAGATAGCTGGATCTCATGTGGCCACCCAGGGTTCGAGTCCCAGCGCTGGCAGCTTACGTGCCAGGCACACACAGCCTGGTAGGATAGAGAAATGAAAGAGAAGGGACTGCAGTGTGACTCGAGCCTCTGGGCTTCTCGCTCCTGAATGTGCATATGCCCTCTGACCTTAAAAAGTGTAACCATTGCACTGAGGGCTGGCCCCAGCACTTAACATATCCAACTGCCTTCTAGCCTCCATGGTATCTGATGAGAAGACAGCTGTTACTCTCTATTTTTATTTTTAAAACTTATTTACATTGAATCATATCTTTACAGTGTACAACATTTCTTTTTCCAGCATAAACATTATGCATGTCAGTTAAGCCAAAGATATTTCTCTCTAACTTACCTCTCATTTTTTTGTTAATTAAGCATACTTTACTTGTTTCTTCTTCCCCCTTCTCCCTTCTATACTAAACTTTTCCATATTTTATTGATTCACAAAATACCTTAAACTAAAAATAAGGACAAAGCTAGACTCTAGTTACAAGTGCCCTATAATTTTCTAATGAAACATTTATTT